TCTCCCACTCGAGCTGTGTGAGTTATTGCGGCCTTTATATTTCCTCGTTCATGATTGTGTTAATTACATGAAAATTGAATATGTGGAATATCTACGAATTACAATGCATTCATTTTAGGTATAGCTACAAGCGCTGTAATAGAACAGCCGGGTCAGAGACATCTAATTCCTAACCAAAAATGTGTTATTTACTTGACACTATTCTTTGAGAAGTCATTTTTTGATTAGGTCCACTATATGCAAAACAATAAAAGGTTCTATCTCCAAAGTCCTCTCAAACTCGTTTCTATGAGGTTTCAAAAAATGATGAGCAACCAAGTTCTACCTCTTTAACCCATAGCCTCACAGTTATGTGACCGACTTGTGTATTAAAACAAAGTATGACTGAAAGGTTTACTTTTTAGTATTTGCCTTCTGTGACAAAAATAAAACGTTATAATTCCAATCGGGGGAAATCAGGTGGCTATTGTTTTTTGTCATGCAAATGCTGTGGTACTGCAATGTCAGTCTGTCAGCTAGTCTGTCCACTACTTTGGTCCAGGCAGAATTATCACGACGACGACAGGATGGATTGCCATGGAAACCTTTACAGATATTCATGGTTCCCAGAGGATACATCCAAAACGTTGGTGATCCCTTGTCTTCTTCTCTCATATCTAAATCGTGAGGTTGTCATGTGGTCTACAATATGTGTTTGCAGCATATATCCAGGATGTTAAACTGATTCAGCGGGGAAAGCAGTTTAAAAAAGACAAAGAAAGAAACTACATATCACAGTGTAAAAGTGAAAGACCACATCACCTGGCGATCAAGATAGAAGACAATGAAATTAGGTAACAACACTGTTCCTGTAAAGCTGGGCAGGTCTTTATTCACTGTTACAATCATTAAAATGCAAAAGCAGCATGTGTAAACATTCAGTTTACCAGCTTGTGTAGCATAGAGGTGCTAACGCTAGTTATTGATGTGATAACGTACTCAGGTTTTTTACGTAGAAATGTATCATTTTAGAAACGCATAGCTCCTTCCAACCTATCTGAGTAACGAGTATCGCTATTACACAACGTTTAACCATGACTAGCTCCAAATCCACAAAAACAGCCTGAAAATAAAGAAAATCTGAAACGACTGCATGAGAGTCTATGGAGCACAGCCGGATAGTTATCGAAGCCTCGTCAGAGCTGGCCGATGCTACGCTATGATTGCCCAGTCTGCATTCGAGGAGAAGGACTTAGCGAAGGGTCAATTCACTAGAAAAACACTGTTTTAAAATGTGATAGGATAACTATAAATATGAGCACCTTCAGGATATTTCGACCAATGAAACAGCTTTACCTCAATACCTCCCAGATTGCAGATGGAGACTAATGCCAAGGTCACACATTTAGTAAAGAGGATCTATCGCTGTGAATGGCTGCCATTCACATTACTATGAAAACTGTCTTTAGAATGCTATTGTGAAACTTTAAATATATACTGTAACATGGTCTTGTTTATATAGTTATAACGTTGCATATTGAAGCAAGTTACCTTCGCTAAGCTTCTTGTACATTTTCATGATAAAGACTTTTGTATCAGTTCACATAACAATCACAGCAATTGGTGCTCTCCTCTTTGAAATATGTGTTGTTTAACATTAGCTTTAAAAACGTCTGAGACAAAAGAAGAGGGGCAAATATCTCATAGTGTGATAAAAGCAATTTTAAATGATATACAGTGATATAAAACAACAAGCAAAGGAGAAAATTCACAAAATACCCAGACAGACTGTGTCTTGAGATAAAGGGAAGAATTATTTCTCTGGTGTTGTTTATTGCTCATCTGTGGTGATAAGTGCACATTTCCAAGCGGAAGAAGAATTAACAGCTCACTTAAGTGCAAGAGGAGAAATCTAAGTGGCAAAGTAGAAATGGAAGAAATGTATTTATCTTTGTCTTGTGCCACTCTTCGTAAATATTTTGTTTTAAAGTTAAATTGTGCACCAATTTGAATAAAACTGTCATTTTCCTCCCCGAAGACAATTGCTTCTTTAAAAGCACAAAGCATTACAGAATATTACTGAGTTCCTTTGCTTTAAGAACTGAAATCTTTCGAGGACCGAGAGTAACCGCGTCTAGAAGTTATCTTTCATCAAAAACGAAAATTTGTAATCAATTCTTTAAAAGTAAGATCACTTAAGCTGAGAAGAAGTTATAAAACCAGTACTGCTGACATCATCTAAGTACCGACCAGGTTGTTTAATGGAAAATATTGTTTCATATTTTCTTCTCATTTCCTGGTGGAACAGGAGCGCTTACCGAGGCAATAAAAAGTGTTTGTTCTTGCTAATTGCTCTGAGTGGATGCGTGCATTTCAAGATGGTAGGCTAGACGATGTGATTTGCATCCCACGTTGGAAAAAAATTGTTCTTGAGTGTGTGTCACATCTTTAAAAGTGTGTGTGACTTTTCTCTCCCTGTGTCATCTCCCCTTTATTTACATGTTACACCAGTCTGAGTCCCTCCCCCCACTAACTAATTCCAACCTGTGTCTCACTTCTTTCTTTTTTCCTCCCATTTATCAAATTTCTTCCACCCCCGCTTTAAAAAAAAAAGAAAAATCAAACATTCTCTGTGGCATAATTCCCTTTCTGTCTGGCCAACACTCTGTGTTACGCAGCGCTGCAACACAAAACACTACACACATTCCTTTCCCATGAGGCCATGAGTTGGCCTGTGCCAGACACCCCTGTGTACTGTATATTCTGCAGTGACCGAGAGACCGAGCGAACAAGTGACAGTAGGAGAGAAAGTGAGAGACGGTCAGAGAAGAATCAGACAGACAGCGACACAGAGGTGCAGAGTGAGGAGAAATCGGCATCTATGTGACAGTTAACCTTATGAGCTTGGATTCAGGACAGCCTGAGCTGGCAGCTGAAGGCAGACCTCCACAGCGAGCCCACGGTGCGACCCATCTGTGCCTGGTATTAAAACAGGCTCACACCCCAGGGCCAGAGCCACCATGCTGCGTAATATCTACACAGACATAGGCACAGTCCTGAGGGGGCCAACAAGTCACCCACCGGGATGACAATGGCAGCTTGGTTAACACAAACACACACACACAAAAAACAACCTCCCACACATGTACCAAAAGCACAGAGAGACTAATACACACATTGACAAGCAGAAACACATTAATGATACTTCCCTACACGTATGAGTGAGCACATAACACCACTCCACCCCATTCTTGTGAGAAGTGTGATACACATTTGGCTGTGAGTGGTGTTATTTTGCCTCTCCGCACCTATTTGAAGCTCCACTTGGACATTGTTCTGTGTTTACATCCTGTTGTGTCGACCACTGCGTGCGTATGTTTTGCGTTTGTCCAGCTGTGTGTATGCAAGGGTCAAATCTGGAGCACGGTAGCAATATATATTATCTCAGCGTCCATGAGAAGCCGATTTATTCTCAGTGTGTATTTAAACCGGCCTGCCGGATAGAAGACCGGCATCACAACAAAATAAAGTGAAAAGAAGTCAATGATACCGAAATTGCTGCAGGCATTGCATTTAAAATGACAGTTTAGCATGAACTTCTTAACCTAAATTATGGCAGAATTACACATCATAACAAGTGGTGTCGACGTGTTTTACAGGTTTAGAAAGGGAAAGCAAAACACAAATTCATGCCTTTATGATATGTTTTAAACCCCTATTGTGTTGCCTTATGATTATCACTAACAGGAAGTCATATTTCATTCCTGTTGAAGACTATATTTAAACAAACTACACATGTATTTGGCCTTTGCTTCTCTAAAGAGTTATTCCTCGCTGGCTCTCAGCTGTGGCCCTCCTAACATCTAACGTGTAGCTCTTTTAATGGACATCCTTGACAGTGCACTCACTGACATTATAAAGAAACAAAAGGAAAATGTCAGATTTTCTTGTCTGGATTATAGGAAGACCCCAATCATACAAAGCAAATGAGGCTTCTAGCTGCTTGGAACCTTTTTTCCTCCTTGAATAGCTTATAGTTACAAAAACGTTTTATCCGCATTGTATAACAACATGGCATGATATATTAGTGATCTGATATTTACAACATTACATCTGATGGAAATGTTTTAGATTTTTTCATTTACACACATTTCTTTAAAATTCAGCCTGACATATTTCTGTTTGTATTTTTTTATCATTGGAAACTTTTGGTTCTTGAGTTGTAGGATTTATTTCATCTTAACAATGTAACATTAAAAGTACCATGCTGTAGTAGACCAGTCATGTCATGTAACTGAGTACATTTTCTCAAGTACTGTAGTACAATTTCAAGGTGGTTTTACTTGAGTATTTTCATTTTAGGCCAATTTTTACTTGAACTCCATGACAATTCAAAGATAAATATTGTATATGTTTATCTAATGACTACATACTTGTTTCTTTGCAACTAACATTTTACGTTGAAAACATATTATCAGTTTATAAAAAGTACTCTATAGTAAATACTCAAATTTAGCTCAACCTCGACAGTAAAGTCAGTGATAATATTCCATAGAATAAAAATAGAGTAGCATAACACACACACACACACACACACACACACACGCACACACACACACACACACACACACACACACACACACACACACCACAAGGGTATGTTTCTGCATTAAGTGATTTTACTTTTGACTTTAAATGTATTTTGTGTATACTTTTATACTTCTCCTTAAAGGGCCAGCGTGTAAGATTTAGTGGCATATAAAGGTGAGATTGCAGATTGCAACCAACTGAAACTTCTCCCCGTTTGCCAAGCGTGGAGGGGAACTACGGTGGCCAATACGAAAACACAAAAAGCGAAAATGCAAACAACAGCTTTGGTGCCCCCCCCCCAACTGAGAGGGGACAGTTTGAGAGGACTCACTCTCCACTAACCCCCCCTGCCAATCCTCCCAGCCTCGCTGACCCTCCTCTCCGCCTGTTCCTCCTCTGACCGGTAGAGGTCGCAGCCTAGCAGTCTCTCTGCGGACGGGAACGCATGGATGTAACTGAGCGCTCCCACATGACAAAGCTACAGCGCGCCTGGAAACCAGGAACGGACCACGGGGCGTTTTTGTTTGTTTGTTAGAGAGAACGCATCGATAAGATCCATTCTGCGTCTTTACCTGCAGCACGGCTCGGCTGTCAAACAACTTCAGTGACCGTTTGGGTTTTTGTTTGCTTGTGACTACTAACGGACAGCACCTCTCTCGTTCTCCCTCTCTCCCGGTGAACTTTATAGGGATGTTATATCAGAGCATCACCGCGCTGAATGCCCAGACAGTGCTGAAGAAAGTGTAGGACGGATGTGAAGAGTGAACTACTAGAGAGACTTGATCCTCTTCGTCTACTACTTTTCGTTCGGTTTAACAGACGAGAAAAGGAGAGTGAGGGCGCGCGCGCAAGAGAGAGAGAGAGAGAGAGAGAGAGAGAGAGAGAGAGAGAGAGAAGTCGCTCAGGTTTTTTGGAGCTAAGCTTTCATGCCGTCAGTCTTGCGGACTCTGAGATGGACGTCAGATTTTATCCAGCTCCCCCTTCAAGCGTGGGTTCATGTACGTTACCGACTGACTCCGGTTTGGACTATTACCACTCCAACAAGGTAACGATTAGCTCTACTTTACGAGCTTATCATAGTCGGTCCGATGCTCAGCACTCGGTGTAATGATGCATGCGCGCACAGGAACATTGCTTACACATGTGTTGTCCATGTATAGAATGTGTAGGAAGACCATTAGTGGCGAGTGCTGCTCGTTCAGTTCCCTCTGGACGGATTAGATCGAAATGAGCTCACGAGCTGCGTTATCACTGAACTTTGTTTTATTTCTGATGTGCAGATTGATTTGAACAGAGCAGAAAAGCACACCTGACACCTGTTCTAAACTCTCGCGCTTCCTTTTAATTAGAAATTGCTAATCTGGATAAACTACTGGTACGTTGTCCTGTGAGCTGAGTTGGAGCGCACCACTCTCTCCAGCGCACTGGAGCTGAATGCTTACAAACTGAATATGTGGCTTTTCCCCCCCTCTGAATACATGTAAACCAGAAAAAAACCATTCCCTGTATAATTTAAACCTTGCCTACCAAAGTGCGGAAACTCGCTATCTTATCTGCTCCACACAGGTTCCCACATGGGTCAATGCACAATTAGTCCAATAAACAGCTATCAAGATTGTGTCTAAATGTGACAGTGACAGCATGTTATCGATCGGGGTTATTTGTGATGCTCCAATGTGTACATAGTTGCAGCTTGTAACTGACCAGTCTGTATTTTCATTTCATTTTATTCCTATTTTGTCTCATTGCTCAATAAAAGTGTTTCCATGAAGCATATGGACTCGCATGTTGCGCAGGCTTTAACAACTTTTTTGCGCATAGATCCAATCTCGTCAGTACCCAGATAATAACTTTTTGGAATTCATTATTCATTAGCAATCTACAAAGAAATCAGCCGTTGTTGTTTGTAATTCTAAAGGATGAAATATTGGAAATGATCAGCCTGTGTGTTTCTATCACCGTGCGTTTTTACGCACGAAATCGTATCCAGTATTACTGGAACGTCAGACACTTTTATTGGTAAATTGAAGTGGGAATAGCTGTAAATGAATTGTCACCTACAAGCTTCCTTTTGAAGGAAAGCACCATAAAATATATTAGCACCAGTCGTTTTTGGAGAGCTAAACATTGTCAAGTTTCCTGAATTATGTAGTTCTCGACATTTCTGTTAAATGTCATGGAGCCTACTGTAAAGAGATCACTTTTTCACTGCTCCACTCCTTCCATGTTATGTACATGCGCGCTGATGCTTTGTAAAGATTTTTGCATTTATGCAAATTAGAAATTTACAAAACTGCCAAATAGTCCCAAGATTACAAGTCACAGGCAACAATGCCAGCTTTTTTTGTTTTCATTTGGTCTGGGTAAAACTTGTTCAAACATTTGGCAGAGCTAGAAGAAAGCATTATATACCCGCAGCCATTCAAATGGGTTTGCTTGCCTTAGCACCTGGAAGGAAGCCAGCAGGCAGTTCACATTTGCTGATGACAAAGTGAAACATTATTGCACAGTGCAATGTTTGAATTGTTAATCTCCCCTGTTCATACACACAGTCACCTGTATGCATACATGAACAACACACGTAGACACACACTCTCTCACGCCCGCACTCGCTTGCAGAGAGGTTTGAATTACAATACATGAGACTAGTCATTCCTCAACCCCCTAACCTACTGTAACATCAAACCCATTAAACCCTAAGTCTGAATTTGAGTTTAAATCATACCTTAAATTATTAATAAAGCGAGCCCTAGCAAAATATTCTCACATATAAGGGCTTTGTGTAATTGTTCTTTCCTTGTGATAATGTTACAATGTTCACGGTTGTGTGTGTGTGTGTTGCCAAGTCTAGTTCACACAGAGGCATACGCACAGTAGCTGCTGAGGACGTATATTTAAGATCACAACGCGACGTGGCCCTCCGACCAAGGCCAATGTTTCTGGTGTTGTAGCGTTAACACAATGAGCCGCACTAGCTATCATGATTCAGCGAGCGTAGGGGTTGTTGGGCCGGTACGAAGCAGGTTTGGGTTTCAAGGACAGAGTCATATCACATTGTCATTACTAAAGTAACGGCTGCGACTAAGATGTAAAGTGACATGTTATCTGTGCTGTGTCGCCTCCGCCGCTACACATAAACACACTGTTGAATAATGATGCAGGGGCTTTATGTGACGTTTTGGCAATAGCGCATCCTTTATGGCGGTTTCATTTCAGGGAAACTTGCAAAGATGATAAAAAAACAAGATATCTTTTCGTATTTCACTGTCATTATGTAGTTAGTTATAGCTACTGCATGCAGGGTTTCAGGGTTTTTTGTTGGCATATTTCACAGGAAATTGAAAGAAATGATTTTAAGTTATTAATCTTTGTATTGAGAAGCAGTTTTTTAGGGTACGAACAGGTTAAAACCCTCCCAATCGAAGCCTCCTGGCAGCGGTTGATTCACAATAGTTTACACCTGAAACAACCATATATATATATATATATATATATATAAACTTACTAGTGTGGTTATGCATTACTGAACAGTATAAGATACACTAACCAGGAAGTGAGCATAATACTAAGTGGGAAAGTCCATATATATAAGCCCAGCACTTCCTGTCGTAGTGTAAACTCAAACACATCTATTTCTGACTAACAGGCTGTGTGAGACTGACTTTACGTGTGTGTGTGTGTGTGTGTGTATCCAGGTATTCATGCCGTTGTCTACCTGAAAGGGTTCATAATTGAGGAACGTAAAGAATGTGTAAGCTTAAACTGGTTCGAAGTGATCAGCCACATTCAGACTGATGATTAATTGATGCCTGCCAGGACTATGGATCACACTGACAGGATAGGTCAATACCTCAAATCTGTGAATGCACTTGACCTTTAGATTTAGGCAATGGTTTGCCTGCAATTACACATTAAACATCAGCAAAATACAGTATGTAACAACATAAACGTGCAAATCAAAGGTCTGATGTACTTTAGGCTTTTATTCCCTTTTTCAAACACAAAAGAATGAGGGGATTATGTCAGACAAAAATGCCATTGTGCTTTTCTCCATTTCATTGTAAATTCCTCGATAAAACAACCTGTGCGTCCACATTTCAGAACAACACATGAGAGGAGCATCGATTTGTATTTTTGCTGTGAACCCCACGGCTCCGTTGCTCTTCTCAACTCCATCCAACTCGCATTGTCCTGCACTTGCACAATCACCGTGAGTCATCTTTACTTTTCGCCCAAGATTTCTCCTAATCTTTTTGAAGCCTCTCTGTATCTTTCCTCACTGAGTGGGAGGCTTGTTTGTTCAGTGTACACTCAGCTGCGTATACCAGCGCTGAAGGCCACTTCTTCGCAAATGCCTGTTTTAGCGAGAGACTATTTGTCAAATGCATTATGACTTGTGCATACCCCCGGGCAGAATCACTCTGTTGAAATGAAGTTGGATAGATTATTGTAGCTGTTCCACTTTCTCCTCATCCCTCTTCCCTCTAACAACACGGTGCCCAAGAGAGAGGCTCTCAAGTAATTATACTGTAGTTATTCTGTATGTTTATAATCCAATGGTTTGCAGATGTTATCCTTTACAAAGTTGCAGTCTGTTCCAAGTTACTGTATGTTATTTATATATGCTGCCGAGTCGTTTTTCACCGCAGTGCGGAGCGAACGCTTTATTGATGCACAGTTTGTGTGGTACTCACAGAAGTGATATCTCATTAAAAGCATTACTGCGTTTGACTGTATGTGCGCGCATGTGTGTGAGTGCGGTGCATACTTAATTGCTAATACACCTCCAGGCGAGACATATGTAACGCGCTTAACAAGAAAACCCTGATTCAATCATTGATAGAGGCTTTCCCACGTTGTACTTTGTCATGCCTCGTTGTACATCTTCATATAAGTGCAAGTAACAAGCAGCTGACATTTGTCCACCTAAAGAGCAATGAGGACAGTTTTTTTTTTGCAGAGCACGTACCGCCCCTTTTCAAGTGGTCCGTTCCATTTTCCCCCACTATCCAAATCACTGTATTAGTCATGGGATACTTCAAAGTATGGACAGGCAAAAATATTTTCCATGTTAAATTCTCAGAGTTTTTTTCTTTCTTTCTCTCTCTCTCTCTCTCTCTCTCTCTCTCTCTCTCTCTCTCTCTCTCTCTCTCTCTCT